CCCAGAGGTAAGCATCTTTAAAGAAAATCCGGTCCCAGTTGGAATGCAAGAAAAGGCCACCAGAGGGCATAACTTAGCCAGGAAGATGCATACCTTTTTACCTGAGTTTGTAGGGAAACAGCAGGGTGGCTGAGTAGGGGCTTTGGTGGGAGTTGGGGGTGGATGGGTAGTCAGATGTTCTAGTAGGGACCTATTTCTCCAGCTTCACACGAGTTCTTAGGTCACCATAGCTTTATGAGCAAGAGCTCATTTGTTTGAGTCAGACTGCTTAGCTTCAGCTACTCCCTGTGGTAACCTGGAACAAGCCGGTTAACCCTCCGATGCCTCTGTTTTTCTATCTGGAGAGTGAGAACTATCATTGTGGGAAATATTAACTGCTGTCATCCAAACAAAGCTCACAGTACATTGTCTAACATACAGCATGTGTCAACGACAGAGAGGGGTGTTGTGAATAACCACATTTTAAGGTTCTCTGTGAACTGTTCTTTTTTTGTCTAGAAGTGGCTAACACACAAAAAGGGTCAAATGTCCACCGCTCAGCAGAGTTGCTTTTCAGGAAACGCAGTCATAAAAACCTACAGGTGATTTGGATATGACATGGCGTCTATCTCAAGGGCTTTTGTTGCATAATAAATGCTACCACACATGTAATAAAAGCTATGAGTGTGTCCTCTGTCACCCACACCCTCTGGCATGCTCCCTTCCCCCATTGCCCCTGGTTATTGGTTACCAACACACCCATGCTCCAGGAATCAGTATCAGCTGTCAGCTGTCACCTTGACTTTGGGATTAGGATCCTTTACAGGGATCACCGCATTGTTGTGAGCTTTAAGAATTATAGAATGCTTTGCAAATCTTGCCAAAAGTCTCAGAGCATCGAAAGGCCAAAGTATGGAGGGTGTTTGCTTATGCCGCAGAAGTCAGAACTGGAAGAGATCCAGCTGGCTATAGCTGCCCCAGACCTATGGGTCTTTGCAGAATCATTTGCAAAAGTTCCTATTGGTTTGGCTCTTGTCCAGGTTAAAGGCAGAGACCACCGCACAGTCTCTCAAGGGAGATAAAGGAAGTCTGTTGCTTGGGATGGCTGGGAATGCTTTTGGTAGCTATCCAAGGCAACTATCACTCATTAAATCTGTCTTTTCCTCCAGCAGAAAGCCAACTTACAGAACACCATATACAAAGCTCCCAGAATAGTACAGGGCTCCAAGAAAACAGTGCACGTGGCCAGTATACAAATGTGCAGGGGCTAAGGATTCTTTTTCCCTTCAAATCTGGGTGGGTTTGAACAAACAAACAAACAAACAACACTTTCTCCAAGTGGCGTCCTGAGAGGAGATGAAGAGAATATGCTAGCCTGGCCTGCCTTTCTGGATTCCAGTTGATTTCACAGCTACCGAAGCATGCTAGGAAGGCCTCTGGCAATGACAGTGAGCCCAGGAAACACCTTGGACTAACTCACTAACTTTACCTTCACACCAGGCTTAGCAAGACTGTAAATCCTGATATTGACTCCAGCAGGAATTTGAAACTTTCGTCTTCCACCATAAATATTTTATTGATTTATTGGCTTCCTTCCTATCTGCATAGAAAGTGAGGAGAAATTCTGGCCAAAGCTGTAGTTTGGAGGAATGAGGGATCTCAGCACCCAGACAAGACTGCATCATATTTCACTGTTTGTTGGAGGATGAAACCTATGTGTGTTTCTATTCCTGAACGACCAGGGGAAGGCATGCTCCTCTGTGAGCTATAGGATAGCATTGTGGTGTTTATTTCCTACTTTAAAACATTCCATATTGTTGTTTTGAGCAAATGTTCCATTTATCCAGAGCTACTTTTTAGATTTTTCTTAGACACAAGTCTTACTATATAGCCTAGGCTGGCTCTGAACTCTCTACCCTTCCTTCTCTTCTTCAGCCTTCCAGATGCTGGGATTACAGGTCTGTGTCCTTATACTGGGCTTTGCAACAATCATATTGTTGTCAGAAAAGCAATCTTATATGGAAATGGCAAAGACATGGATTATAGAAAGAAGAGACTTGGTACCACTCCTGGATGTTCCTATGGTTCTCTTTATCCTCTTCTTCCCCTTAGCAGCTCTTCCTGGCTAACCACACTTGCCCTGTAGCTCTTATACATGTCACTTCTACTTGAAAGTCAAGAGCCCTATCCTTCCCAGACTGGGTCCCCAGTCCCTCAGATGTTCCTCCAGGACACAGTCTCACAGTACTACACTATGATTGTTTTTGTACCTGCTGCCCCCTCCACAACAGTGAGGTCTCTGGCAACAAAGAAAACAAATTTAAATCTGTAGAGCAACGCTTGGACTTTACGAAAGTTCTTAATGAACTCACTATGTAATTACTGAACAATTATTTACTGGGGGGTCTTTTATAGATAGATCAATATAAAGGTACACAGAGATGATGAAGAAAACTATTTCAAAGAAGTTACAACAGGGATTTGCCCAATAATTCATATAAAACCAACCATTATCTTGAGGGTTAAGATTGAGGTACAAGGGATGGAGGCAGTGGCTCGGTTAAAAACATTCGCTACTTTTCCAGAGAACCTGTTTGATTCTCAACACCAGTGTTAGAGGCAGCTTATAATGATCTCTAACTTCAGTTCCAGGATACCCAGAGTCATCTTTTGGCCTTCATGAGTAAAACACACACACACACACACACACACACACACACACGAAAGATACAGATGTACATACATGTAAATAAACATAGAAGTAAACTTTTTAAAAAAGATTTATTTATTTAATGTATGTGAGTACATCCGAACCAGAAGTGTGCATCAGATTCCATTACAGATAGTTGTGAGTCACCATGTAGTTGCTGGGAATTGAACTCAGGACCTCTGGAAGTGCAGTCAGTGCTCTTAATGGCTGAGCCATGTCTCCAGCCCCAGAAGTAAATATTTTTAAGTGATACAAAAACTGTCAACTTTGAAGACTAGGAAGGTTTGAACGCTTGACATTTCTCGTTATGGTATCTGGTTCCTAATCTCCGTTTTTAATGCTAGTATGAATTTTATGCTTGGAGTCATTGGGTTTCATCTCTTTAGGTCCTTTATTAGAATTTGACTTGTGTTTTCCTGCCTGTCCTTGAATTATCCTAGGAATACCTGCCATTTGCTCGTAACTGATGCTTGTGAACCACCTTGTCTTCCTCTGCGGAAAGGCTCTAAGTGTTGAGCCCCTTGCTGTGCTGCAGTGGCCGTTTTATTGTTAAACCAGTGACAATGAGATTACACAACAGCTTGGATAGCGAAGGGGAACAAGGGCTATGAACCGCCTCAGCTACAAGGGACAGGGATTCGGGATGGTAAAATGCTAACATACCCAGATGTGGGTTAGAGTCCAGCAGTAGGTTCCTGGAGATCATTTCACTCCCAGAGGCTGAGGCTGCTGGCACTTTGGCAGTGAGTCTTAAGCATCCTGGCTGAAATGTGGATTCACTTCCATTAAAGCTGTCACAGAGAAAGAATCCAGTGGCCAGAAGCCAGGAGCACACACATGGGTTGCTCGACATCAGCAGCTCTGGAAGCTTTCCAGGAGGCAGAGGACTGTTCCATTTGCATGGAATCAATTATTTCTAAAGGGATTTATTCTTTATCTCACTCTAGACTTAATTTTTCCAAACTTCGAACTCTCCGGTATTCTTCCAAAGGAACAAGCTAAAGAGGGCTGGGGTGGGTTTGAGTGTTGTTTGGGCACATAAGGATGGTTAAAAAATAGCCATTTACAAAGACGAAGAAAGAGAATATAGATTTAAATGTGCTTCTCGTCAGGAAAAATTTATTGTTTAACTTAGGACGAGGAAGATTGGTTCCTAGGAGAAGGATATCATAGAGAAAATGTTGACCTCTCCAAAATTAGTCTCCAATAATATTAATGACAATCTTTCTAATTGCCAGGAATTTGGGTTCTGAAGGAAACAGTTTTAAGATGCTGGGTTGACTGACAGATACTATTCAGAGACACTAAGGCATGTATGTAAATGAGTCATACAGGCCTAGGAACCACTGTGTACCCCAAAACTTCTTTCTAAATGGGTGACCTTGGGTAAGTCTCTTAACCTCTTTTGGCTTTGCTTTCTGTAAAATTGGGGTTTAATCAGTTCCTGTAAAGAATTGAGCACCATATTTGGGATACAATACAATAAATGATAGTAGTTATCACTGTCAACTTCCAATGACCGAAGACGCTCGGCTCCTCAGCCAAACCATAGTGTGGTGAATCCGGATCTGACGGACAACACCGAAGTGCCCAATAAGATGCCGGGGTTGGGGGTGGGGGGAGGAGTGGGGGACAGTAGAATCAAACCAATGGCATGGGCCCTTGTTGTTGGCCGCTTTCTGGCTGTTCCACCAATAGCTTAAGAATGTGACTTGGGAGTGACACCCTGACAGTCCAATGACGCACAACCAACCCACACTCAGCAATTCGGAGGGGATAAATCAAGGAGTCTGCACGTATAGATTCCGTTATTAGTGCAGTCTCGAATGGTGAAAGGAGCTTGGGAGAAACAGCCCCTGAGAGAGGCATTAATGAGCTAAAAAAGAGGAAAGAGACGATGACTGCGCTAGGCGAGCTCCGCCGCCATCATGCTCTAGTTTCCCCTTCGTCTCTCGGAGTCCGCGACCGAGGAAGCGGCCTCTGGGATGCTGAGGGGGTGTGTCCCCTCATGATTGGCGCAGGCTGCTCAACCAATCCTAGCTCGGCAAACGGGAAGCACTTATCCAATGAGGGGAGATGGCAGCGGCGAGGACTTAGGGAAGGCGGAACAGTGGTTTGACGGGCACGAAAGCTAACCAGTGAAAGCTAGAGGCATCCTGCCTGAGGCCAATGGAGAGGGGCTGTGGGCGGGCGCCAGAGTGTTTGTGTTGTGGTTTTGGGGGAGGGAGGCGGAGGGGAAAGTTTGTTTATTTTGTTTTTAGTTTCTGGGGTCCCCGAGCTTCGGGAAGGTGAAGCGAGCCACAGTGACCCCTCTCGCCTCTCAGCCTACCTGTGACGTCGCCTCCACAGCTTGCGGAGAAGCGGAGACCGCGGTCACCGCTGGGCTCCACAGCGGAACGTCGCGCACTCGGAGCCGGCGCGGCTCAGCGGTGAGTGAGGACCGTGGGCCGCGCGGGCCTTCTTCTTTCTCGCGAGCCGCCAGGCCGAGCCGGGCGACCCAGGGTGGGCGACTGAGGACTCCCTCGGGGGCGCGCGGCACGGCCCACTGAGGTGCAGCGTGTGCGTGTCCTCGCGAGCGCGCGCGACGGGGGCGAGCCGGGCGGGAGGGGCGGGGGGGAGCGCGCGCGATCCAAGTGGGCCGCGGCGGGCTGGGGCGCTCGCCCGGAGATCGCGATGGGCAGACGTGAGGCGGGGGAGGGGTGTGTGAGGGACGCGCGGTCACGTCGGTCGTGAGGACCGGAGTGTCCCAAGTATTGGGGCCGGGACAGACCGGCGTCACGCGCCTGCAGGTGTGAGCCGAGGAAAGGGCTTCCGGGTGGGCCGGCGGCTGTCCGAGCGCTTCGTGTCGCCTAGGGCCCTCTGAGCTGCAAATGCCTGGCGGTGGGGCGCAAGCATCCGGTGTCCCCGCGCGGCGGGCGTGCAGGCATGTGTGCTGGACCGATGGCATGGTCCCACGGGCATCCCGCGAGAGCTGCGTGGGGTGGGGGTGGGGGCTGTGGAGAGGCGACGCTCACTTTGGAGGAAACAGACGAGGGGCGGAGGGATGAGAAGAGTTGGAAACAGCCCTGGGGAGGGTTTGCTACCTTCTGCTCGTCCGGTGCCCTTTAATTTCAAACTAACGGATTTGTTAGTCCGTAATGGCTAAATAAATATCTGGTCCAGCGAAATTCACTACAGTGGCTATCACAACACCCAAGAACAGCAGCATCTCTTCCATCCTTAGACTTGCACTCAGGTCACCCGTCTGAGACTTTCAGCTTCATGTTTTCTCTTGTGTCTTTTGGCTGCTTAGATTCTGAATAAAGAGTACGAACCAAAACTCCGTGAATAAAACATCATTTGTACCTCCTTCACAGTTAAACATAGCAGTAAGCTGTACAAAAATCACACATCCTAGCCTTTTGTGAAATGTTTCTCTTCGCTTGTGGGAGATTTCAGTTCTTGACTTTAAAACTATGTGTTCGCGGTGGTTTGTAACCGCTCCTTAAAGAGCAGAGCATGTAGACTGTTGTCTTGCACTTGTGTAGTGTGAGTTTCAGTGTAGGAAGTGGGAGGGATATCAGTGTAGTAGTCTCTACAGGTAGGCACATACTGGATAACCAGTATCCAGAATACAGATCAGACTGGTTTGTCCCACTTGGGATGCAGTGATGAGGGAGGGTTATGATGCATGCCTCTGTGTGTTTTGTTTTGTCTTGTTTTGTTTTTGTGACAAAGTCTTGTCGTGTAGCCCCAGCTGGCCTGGAACTGCTTTGTAAACCAGGCTGGCCTGGAACTCATAGAGATCTACCACCTGCCTCTCTTTCCAGAGTGCTGGTTAAAGAGGCCCAGCTTAGTTCTTCACTGTTTTTAAGGGCTTCTCTTAAACTTGGTTATCTGAGTAGTGTAGTTTCTGATAGCACTTAAAAGAGTAAAACAAAACAAAACAAACCTGTCCATGCTACATGTCTCTGTTAACCCATCATATCCTTGAAATCATCACCCCAAATAGAAGCTCTTAAATGGTTTTTGGTTTTTATTTTTATCTTGAGACAGGGTTTCTTAAATGTTTTAAAATCAAAACAATACTTTTGTTCCATGTCAGTACCGGCTGCTGTTCATTGTGTGCTTACACTATATATGTCTTCCTCTCTGTTAGTCTTTAAATCCTTACTTGAAACTTGTAGAGCAAAAGCTCTCATTGCAGTAGGGATGAGGACAGGGCTCCCAAGAGCCATACAGCTAGGTTTAATCTGGGGTCTATTTGTTGTTGGGCTTTTTTGTTTTGTTTTTATCTTTTGCTTGTTTTATTTTCGACTCCTGGATTATCCAGAAGAAGAAAAGCAAAAAGAACCCTGAGAAGCAGAGAGAGGTAGGAAAGGAGAATCCACTGACTTCATCGCTAAGATTTCATTGTCTGAGCCTGGCTTAAGAAGTTAATGTCAAATTGAGACTATTCTTGTTTTAGAACTAAGCACCTTAAAAAAATACATCTAACCTTTGATTTTCAATTGACATATTCATTGAACATAATACTGCAAAGCTCTGTTTTTGTTTGAATTTTTAAATTTCTTTTTCCCTTAGGTCTTGTTATGTGGCCTACCTAGCCTCATACTCATGATCCTTGTGTCTCAACTTCCCCAGTGGAGGATTAACCTTTGCTATCTCAAAAGAGTCAGTCCATCACCTTCTCTCCCTTTTATGGGTGTTGTTTTGTTTTAAGATCTCACTCTGGACCAGGATATCCTGGAATTCATTATGTTGCCCAGGCTGGACTTGAACTCTTGGCCTGCCTTAGCCTCTTGAATGCTGGGATTATAGGTGTGAGCCATGGTGTCCAGCTTCTGAAGACTTTTTCTCTCCATCTCTGTCCACTAAGTCCTTATTTCCACTCAGGTCTCTTAGAACTCCAGTTCATTTTTGTAGTTAACAGCTTGTGATTCAAGGCCATGTATATTTCATTTGCCATTAATGCCAGAGCCTGTTCAAGTGTCAGGTATACAGGAGACTCCTGAAAAACATTTGATGACTATGTTATGATTTTGACTTTTACTTTTATTATTTATTGTTATTTTTTAATTTCTTGTAGCCTTTGCTGCCTACTTCTTCCCAAGAGTGTCTGAGATTTGATGCCACTCTTAAGAGAGCTTTCCACATAAAGATAGGTCTGAAATCACAGTGTTGAGCTTGCTGACTGAACGAGCATTACACTCTGGTTGTTCAGGCCGGGTTAGCATTGCACCTGTTATTCTTCTTGTCTCAGCTGGTCTTGATTTCTTTCTCCTCTCTGCAGCATGTTGATTCTAGAGATGTTGTATAGGTTCCAACAGAGCAGCCTGCTTGCCCTTTGACATTTGCTGCCTTTGACATTGACAACTGCCTCTAGTGTTTCACCCCTACACATTGCCCCCACACTAATCTTCTTGAAAGTTTGCTTTATGTTTTCTGCTCCTTCCCAAATATACCACAAACACTTAGGTTAGAAATCCTCAGTGGTGTTTGATTGCCTAAAGGATTTAAGTACCTTTGCCTGTTATTTACAGATCTCTGCACTAGTATTGTCCAATAGAAATAGAAAACAAACCACAAATGTGGACCACATATGTCATTTAAAATTTTCTAGTAGCCACATTAAAAAGTAGAAAGAAAGGGTGAAATTGATTTTTTGTAACATTTTACTCACTTCAAAACATTCAAAACCTTAGTATTTAAATATGTTATCAGTAAAAACAACAAAAAAAAACTAGTACTAGGGTATTTTAAAAGTCTTTTTTCATGTTAAGTTTTTGAAAACTAGAATGTATTTTCACTTAAAACATCTCAAGCCACACTAATCAGATTTCAGATGCTCTATAGCCATGTGTTGTTTGTGGCTACCTTATATTAGACAGAACAGATCTTAAGTATGTCTTCAGCATACTGGAAGGCCAGGCCTAGGTAATTCCAGCCACTGTCCTTTGCATAATTCAGTTTTTCTCATTTAGAAACATCTTTATAATCCAAACATGCTAAATCTCTTTGAGGGAAGCACAGGGGAACCTGAGAGCTCTAATATTTAATTCTTATAATCTCTGGAACTCTATGTGTGTGTACAGATATGTATGTGTACATATGTGCCAATGGAGACCAGAAGAGAGAGAGAGAGTGTTGGAGTCCCAGAAGCTAGGCAGAGGTGGTTGTGAACCATCCACGTGAATGCTGGAATCTGAGCACTGGAAAGGCTGCAAGTGCCCTTAATCTCTTAGCCATCTCTCCAGCCACTTCTCCGGAGATTTATAGCATTATTATTATTTTTTTAAAGATGCATTCTCTTTTGTTATCCAGGCTGGCCTGGAACATCTAGGCTCAAGTGATTCTTCACCTTAGCCTGCTGAATAGCTAGGAGTACCAGTAACATGCCACTGTATCATATTTAATGTCATTTCTTTTCATATTATTTTTATATTGTAACTGTTTACAGTCAGTTTGCGTTGTAATCACAGATGATAAGGCACACACACTAATGATTATCTGATAAATTAGAGCCAGTGCCAGTAGTCCATAGCCTCCCTCTTCTCATCAGTGAGTAATAGCTTGATTGTCCTGGGCTATGTGTGTTGACATCTTCCCCCTTGGGCCTTGGATGCTTTGGGAACAGAGCTTTGCCTTCCTCATTTTTGCTCTTGACCTGACCTGTGCTAGGAAATCTATAGATCTATATATTGATTTTTGTGTGTTTTGTTTTCAAGACAGGGTTTCTCTGTGCAGCCCTCCCTGGCTCTGTTTAAATTCACTTTGTAGACCAGGCTGGCCTCAAATCCAAAGACCTACCTACCTCTGTCTTCTCAGTGCTGTGATTAAAGGTGTGTACCATATGTACTTTAAAAATATTTCTAGTCAGATAGTAGTTAACACTCTATCCTTTGAAGACACTAGATCATGTGAAAGGTATATGGCTTTTGGGGCAATGCTAAGGATTGATTGAATCCAGGGCTTTGTAAATGCTGGGCACTGACATTTTGCCATTAAACTAAATCTCTAGCTCTCTATCATATTTTTATATTCCCCCCTTTTTGAGAGTACATTTGTATTTTCCCCCCTTTATTGAGGTATTACTGATGTTCAGAAGCCTAAGGATATTTAGTGTATATAACTTGGTATATTCAGAGTAGATTTGCTTCTTAAAACAAAACTGTTCAAATTAGTCATGGTAACAGATGCCTTTAATACCAGCACTCAGGAGACAGAGGCAAACAGATCTATGAATTTGAGGCTAGCCTGGTCTACATAATGAGTTCTAGGATACCTGGACTATACAGTGAGACCTTATCTCAAAAAAAAAAAAAGTTAAAAATAACTGTGATAGCTAGGGATTAGTGGTGCATAACTTTAACCCTAGAACTTGGGAGACAGGCAGTCGAATCTCTGTGAGTTCAAGGCCAGCCTGGTCTACAGAGTGAGTTCCAGCACA